GGGGGGGGGGGGGGGGGGGGGGGGGGGGGGGGGGGAAGGGGTGTGATGGGTTGGGGGACAGCAGCCGGCACGGGTGTGGAGGCACCTGCCTTCAACCGGACCTAACAAAATAGTCGAAAGGATTGAAAAAGCCCCCGGATAGAAGCCCATTGAAGGTGGGTGTTCAAACGGATAGTACATTAAAAAAAAAGCTAGGTTAAACCAGCAGTACTTGGGCCATACATCGGCCACGGGCCTTCCCCGTTAATGCGCCGCAGCCTTAGGGGGTCGGCCAAGGGAAGGTCCGGTCGTTGTGGAATGGCCGGACTCCGTGCTTCCAGGCATGACAAGGGAATTCAGATGTGAAAAACGAAAAAAAAAAAGGAGGAATTCAGATGTGAAAAATGAAAGAAAAAATAAAAAAACGTTCAAAAACAAAAAGACGCGCCCGGGGGGGAGGGGGGGAGAGAGAGAGAGATGAGAAATGGGATTATGGGAATGCGTTCTCTATTGTGAATGCATCTACCCGGGTAGATGGGTAAATGCATTCCCGTTTTCGCAATAGAGAACAGAAACGCCTGCTTGTGTACGAGAGAGAGAAAGAGAGAGAGAGAGGCGGCGAACTTGCCGCAGCCCTCCATGCAGGTTGCCACCTCTCTCTCTCTCAGGTGCCTCTTTTCTTTTTTGACAGTTTGTTTCTTTTTCCTTTCTTTCTTTTTTGATGTTCTCGTATTTTCTTTTTCTTTTCTTTCTTTTCTTTTTCCTCCTTTCTTTGCATTTCTTTCAACAGCAGCCCCGGGAATTGAACGCCCGGTAGTCCGAGCCTCGGCACGGATCCGTCTACCGGTCGCCCGAGGCCCGGATTTGATAGCTGGGCCAGGTATTGGTGGTTTAAGTTACTTTTCAAACATCCTATTGTCGCTCGAGGGGATCATGTATCTTCTTGTTCACACTTACTCTTATGTGCAAGGAATATGAGCGAGAGCGATAAACAGAAATCTAAATTGCGAAATCACGCTGTAGTCCAGATAGTCATGTACCAAGCAGAGTACAATGCACCAATATACCATCCATGTAAGAGCAATACAATGAACCAAAACGTCAATGTCTACGCTCTCTGGTCATACCAACATAGTATCCAAAGTCGCTTGTTTAGATTGGCGCTCAGTGCCCAGCCTACACTACTCAGCCCATCTAGCCTACACTACGTTCATGCAACAGGATTCACTTCCAAGCTGAAGACCAATGTACGTAAGGTCTTCGCCTATGCAGACTGCCAGCATACACCAGGTACGTGTCTCTCTCCTCCTCTCATCACCCCGTCTCCCCACAGCATGCGCCTCCTACCCGAAGACCACCATCGCCATCACCCGCATGCGCCCCAGCAGCCCAGGCTATGGCTGCCGTGTGCCTACTGCCACCGCAGCGCCCCTCTCACCTCGCAGCGCCAATGCGCGTGTCTGGCCTGTGCTAGCACAGCTTGGCTTCACAATGCAGCAGCATGGCCGCATTGCCTGCCCAGGCCAGAATGTCCTCTGGCTGGGCAGGGCACTTCCGTAGATGGAAAGTGCAGCCCTACATCTGGCTGCTTGGGCCTGGCGTGTGAGTGCCCAGTAGCTTCACGTTGGGCCGAAGTGTCTGCGCCCAGGCCCATTCAAACAGTTGCCTGGGCCTGCAGCTTCAAGATGCGCCCAACCACCCCACACAGTCTGTGATGTGTTCCTCACTTTCTGATAGGCTGAGAGGCCTGCTTCCACGTCCTAGCTTCCAGGGACCTGGAAGCTTCTTTAAAGATTCCAATTCTTACGAGCAGGGCTTCTTTAACAAACTGGCGCATGGCAACCGTCTGGCGCCCAGAAATGCTGTGATGGTGAAATGTGGGGACCCCTTGCTGAAATCAGGCCCGCCTTTCCTTAGGGTGGGCACCTTGCTTGCTGGGGCCCCTTGGACATGCAGGGGCCACTGGGCACCTTGCTTGCTGGGGCCCCTTGGACATGTGGGGGCCACGACCCAACGCCCAAATGTGAGGGCTCAGTCCTCGCATGTCCAATTTCCAAAGGTGACCTGAGATACGGAAAAGAGTACTGAAAATTGATTTTGCAGCCTCAGCTGAGCTGCCCGTATGAGTGGTTTGTATTGCAGTATGCTCTTCCACTCCGGTGGCATTGCATGGAGCGCGGCTTAACCCAGGGGTTTTGTTTTACATCCCAATTATGTTGGATGTTATGACCTTGCCATCTCCTGCATGAATTCATTCAATGTGTTAGTGGTAACATCTCGTCCTTTTTCCTCAATGAATTCCTTTTCTTTCATCTTCTTTTCGCCGACTGGCCACTCGCACATGGGCTTTCTCTCACAGTCATTGCATCATCCACCATACTCCGTGACTCAGGCGGAACGACGCGGGCACGTCTTGTACATTTTGTAGTTTTTGTCGGATAAGTGGTTGGATTTTTGGCTGATGTTGCTATTGCCTTTGTTGCTGCTTCTGATGCTTCTTTGTGCCTTTGCAGAAAGATTGGGCTTCCGCTCCACCTTATCAGGGATCTCTATGAGACATTCCGCAACTTCAAAGCGCGAGTGGGTGACTTCATTCGGTACCGCCGAATCACATCCAACATGGACAAGTTTCCAGAGGCCACCCAGGAAGAGCTAGGAAGGTTGGTTGCCTTCTTTCATGCACACCTCTTCTACCTCTTCCCCCTTTTCTCTTCTCCGTCTTCTACCTCTTTCTCCCCTTTTCCCTCTTTTCCCTCTTTTTTTCACTCTTGTCTCCTCCTGCTTGAAGGAAACATGTCTCTTGGCCAAATAACAAAAAATGGTGTACTCATGCAGACTGTTAGGCAGATGTTGCCAAAATTGGTCGGTGTGTTTTGTTGCGCCTTTTGTATGGCGGCGGTAGGTTGAATTCCCGCAGATATCTGTATGTGCAGCCGTGGTGCAGTCATGGTATGGGTTCCGATTTGGGTGATCTTCCAACTGCCAATTGCTGACCAGTAATTGGATTTGCAAAAGCAAAAAAGGAATACTGTAGATTAATCTGCATCGATGGTTGACATTCTGTGCAGTCACATTAACTGCATGAAAAGGAGGAGAGGGAGTAGCCAGTGCGGGGATGTTTTGTTTTTCTCCTCTGTGTGTGTGTGTGTGTGTGTGTGTGTGTGTGTGTGTGTGTGTGTGTGTGTGTGTAGATCTTGGCATGATCTGGACATCCAGTTGACTACCTCAGTGGTCTTGATTTGTCTAGATGTTTGATGTTCGGAAACCTGTCTGGAATAAATAAGAAAAGGAGAGAAATCTGAAAGCCAAATAATAGTCCTTAATTTTCCTTTCATTGCTAAAAAAATGGAAAGTCCAGGAAGAAAGTGTAAGTTTGAACTAGAGGACCAATGGGACATCCTTTCACTGAGGGCCATTCATCACCTAGTGAACACTTCTTCATTCTGCTGCCTCAATGAAGTCACCATGATGATTGTGGACCGTAGAGGGAACCCTCGTTCATGTCTCTGACCCATCATGCAGTAAGCAGGTTGTGGAGAAGCAGCTACCACATACAGGTGGTTGTGATACCAGCTGGTACTGGGGTTGGGACTACCACTGGCATGTGGTTGCAATGCCAGCAAAGCTATCTGGACAAAGGCGCCGCCTCATTAGCTGGCGTTTGTTGATTAAAGGAACTTGTCACAGCGCCTTTTCTTTTTGGTGAGGGTGTTACGACTGGGAAATGGTGGTGTAACTGGACCAGTGATCATGGAGAGTGGGTTGTAGAGATGTGAGAGAGGCCCTGTTAGGCTGATGTTTCTGGCAATGTAAATCCATGTTGGTTTGGTGTCGATATGATTGACTGCTACAAGAATATCATAAAAGATGAGCTGTTGGCCCTCCTGAAAGATTTTTTTTACCAATTAGTCGCCGTTGACCTATGTGTGTGTGGATGTTTGGATGGGTGTTGTGTGCTTTTTGTACCGTCAGAGGGGATGCGACCTGCATCATTTGTCGTGAGGAAATGTCTTCTGCGAAGAAGTTGCCATGTGGACACTTGTTCCACATTCTGTGTTTGAGGTCGTGGCTGGAAAGGCACATGACTTGCCCAACATGTCGTGCCCCCGTTCTGCCTCCGGAGAACGCGAACCAGGCAAATGAAGCGGCAGCACGGCACATGGCCCAGCCAGGAGTTGTGGAAGGTAAAACTATTTTCATCGTTCAGATGTCCTAGTTGAGAATGCTCCTTGCTCCAGAACAGGAAATGAAGAAGCAGCTTGTGTGCAATGAAAAGGTGGAATGAGAAGTTTCCTTTGTTGGCTCGATCTTCAAGTGGAGAATGACCCCTACTTTTGGATAAGAAACGATGAAGCAGCATGTGAGAAGAAAAGGAATGAGAAGTGTGAATGGTTCAACCACTGCTGCCCCTGAACCTATGTAACAGTTGTCCTTTGTTTTGTTCGATCATGACTTGCTCAACCTCAGGCCTCAGAGGTAAGACTCCTGTGGAATGAGGTCTTTTGCCATGCAATCTACGACTTGACGGTGGAGTTCAATTGCTCCAGCAGGTCTTTTCGAGGCCAGCCTAGGCCTCCTCTGCCTTGCCACTGCACTGCCCTGCGCTATGCTTGTATAGCAGATGCAATCTGGGGAAGGCATCAGGGGCAGTGGTGGTTAACCTATGGCTAGGAAACAGTTTTAATCGTGGAAAAATATGATGGTCAATTCGAGTCCGTCCTTTAGCATGGAGGAAATAATTGAACACAACACCTGCTCCCCATGTCAGTAAATTCTCCACCTCTTCAGTCTCCCCCTCTTCTTGCTGCAGTTTCTTCTTTGCTGCTTCTGACCCCTCTCCTCTACATCCTCTTTATCCACCTCCACCCACTCCTCTTCCTCGCCACAAACTTCACCCCGTTTTGATCCTGCTCCTCGTTGCCCCCTGGGAATGCCCAACAGATTGTCTGGAAGTGGTTTATCTGTGAAGAAGTGTACTCTTCAGTTAGGCTAAGAGCTACCAGCAATCGTCCCCTCCTCCCTGACGAAGCTTTAACCTGCCCTCGTGTACAAAAAAGTTCCTAAGCTATAGATTAGTGGATTGTCATTACAGTTGTGAAGTTTGTGAACTTTTTATCTCACCTCCTCATATGCCTACACTTATAGAAATCGCTAATGTGAGAATTCGGCCATCCAGGCCGTCCGTGGTCCTACCGGCCCAACGGTTCGGATCGTCACGTGATATTAAGACTTTAAAGATAGCGCGACGAGGCGGTCTGCGTGTGCGATCTTGAAGTCCTAGATCACGTAGCGATCTGGACCGTCGGGCCTGCCGATGGCCGGAATCAACGCACCCGTTGGGAAGAGGGCCTGTACGGGCGCGCGGAAAAAGCTGCTGGGCCTGATGCCCGATGCCTGTTGGGCATTGCTCGTCGCAGGGCGGCAGTTGAGACAGGGCGCTCGCCGTATTGCCCTGTTCTGCGGGTGATTGCTCGTCGCAGGGCGGCAGTTGAGACAGGGGGCTCGCCGTATTAACCTGTTCTGCGGGTGACGGCTGTTGCTCACGGTCGAAGGCAGCATCTGTCTGTCTCTCTCGCAGATGCGAGCACACACATGAACACACACACGCCCGTGCACACACACACGCATGCACACATTTGCATCCTGGGCACTCCATACTTGGTTACCGGATGCTATGGAGGACCCTACTGCAGTATCAGCTCTGATTCATGCATCTATATGGTAGCAGCAGGTGTTTTCATGATGGCAATGTGTTCTCCCTTATTTGAATACGCACCCAAGGCTTTAATTATGATTACTTTTGTGGGAGCTATGACATCCTTTTTTGCGCCACTACAGGAATTTTACAAAATGATTTCAAAAGGGTTACCAGGCTCTTCCCCTTGCGCCGTTGAGCCAAAATAATGTTATATAACTTATATTTTAATTCTTCCTGGATTTGGTATTATCAGTCATGTGGTGTCTACTTTTTCCGAAAAGCCTGTCTTTGGCTATCTGGGCATGGTTTATGGTGCACCGTGTAAGGCGGATTTCGTCAATATCGGTCGCCGACTGAAGGCAGGCACAAAGTGCAGCAAGACATGCTGGACATGAAAGCAAGACGCAAAGAAGTGGGCATCTGATCTCCTTCCTGTATTTATCGTGGAGTAAATCAACCAATGGTAGCGTTGCCGAAATGCGCGTGGAAAAGCATTTTGTCAAACCGAGCAACAGGAGGCTCGCACCTCCTGATGAGTCGGTGAAAGTTTAGCAAAACAGTCTGGCACAGTCATGCTTCTTTTCGTGGAGTAATGTATGACGAATGTGACAACACAGATGCACACAGATGGGTGTGTGGGCACTTGGCGCTGAACCACACAAATGTTGCCAACCTTGCATTTTCTATCATATTGCCTATCTATACTTTTTTGTTATGGATGGCTTGTGATGATCTGTGAAGGGGATGAGAGAGAGAATCTGGGATCTTTTAAAAACAACATACACAATTGCCTGCACACACACATCCTCGCACACTTACATACACATGCATGCACACACATGGACACGCCACATAATAGCAACATGACAAAGACACTAAGCACACACAATTGCCTGCACACACACATCCTCTCACACTTACATACACATGCACGCACACACATGGACACACCACATAAAAGCAAACATGACAAAGACACTAAGTAAGAGAGAGAGAGAGAGAGAGAGAGAGAGAGAGAGAGAGAGAGCCACCATGACCAAGCTGGATGATGAAGATGGCGATGAAGATAAAGATATGGATCACGATATACGACAAGGTAGGATGATATGAAGACCAGGAGAAGGGGTAGGAATATTACGTTGTTAACATCATGGAGAACTTGGATCGGGAAGGGGTAGAAGCAGGCGCATGGTGGTTTCGTTTTCCTCTTTTTATCCACTCTGATCAGAAATGGAGAAGAGGCAGGGCAGCATCGGAAGAAATGACGAGGGAAAGAGGGGACATGAGGATGGGATATGGTGATGCGATTGGGTCCTGTATGACTAAGGCGAAAGAGGAAGGAAAAGTAATTTGGAGGGACAGTGATGTGAGAGACTCTGGATCGGAATGCAATGGGGAGGGAGAGGAGGATGCTGCGGAGTCACAATCAGGTAAAAGGAAGATGGGTGTGGCAGTTGTTGGGAGGGGGAGGGCTAAGGGGAAGGCTAAGGGGAAGGGTGCTGAGGGCGCTGGATGTTGTGGGTGAGGAACTGGGAATGAAAGGGGGGGCCCGGGGTCAAAAGGAGAGGGGGGGATCAAAGAAGTTGACGAGGGAAAGTGCAACAGTACGGTTGGAGGGGGAACGTGGAAGGGTTAGGGGGAAGTCGGGAGGGTGCAGGGGGGAGGTTAAAGGTGCGAAGCGTACCACGTGGCTGCATCACTTGTGCCCTCCGATTGTGTCGTCGCACATGTACAGTTCGGTTGTCATGTACATGGCATAGCCTCTGCTCCGAACACTAAGAAGGAATGGTCGCTGCTACCCTCTCCCACGAAAACTGTGATCCATTGTCTTGTGCTCATCCCCCCCACCCCTTGATTACTTGCCCAGCATGCTGTTGTGGCCTTGATCTGCCATGCTTAAATAACTGTGCACGTCAGCCTTCCGTACTGATGACATGTCAGCAGCATGCCATGTATTGTCAATGTTTCCAGGAAGCTGTCATAGAAAGTATGTGTCTTTACTGCGCGGACTATCCCTGGTGCCATCACCCGCCACATCCACTTCTAGCATGTCCCACGTGGTGTTGGTCATACACCTACGGCAACCGCAGACGGATTTTCCTCTTCCTTGCCAGACGTACGACAGACACAGCAGCCGGAGGAGGAAAATAGACTTCTATATGAACCACGTGCAGAGCGATGTGCCGATAGTTTATCACAACCAGGGCGAGCTGTTGCGAACCAAATCCTGCAGCAGCTGAACACCCTTGCTTTGGACCGATCCTCCCTGTCATCGTCTGCTCATAGAGAAGACATAAATACTGAGGAAAACCAAGAAAGATGCTCCATGTCGCTTTGTGATGACCAGCCGGAGATTCAAGTAGCATGTGTTCGCATGCCTTGTGCCGTGAGGTTTATGAAGGGATAGTTCATGCGAGTTTTTGCTTTCATACGTATGAGGGCAGTCAGTACTGTACTCATGTACGGTACCCTGAAATGTCATGTCCAATTTGTAGACGGGCTGGAACAGCAATGCCTCTATAATTGCGATTGACGTCCCTCTGTGTTCCTAGCTTGTAGGAGCCACGTAGCCTGTGACATGTCTGCGCCGCGCCGTTCGATGCAGCAACTCTGACTGCGAAAATTGGATGTGGTGCTTCCTCAGTCCACACCCGAACCGGTCCTGTACGGTCTGTAGGGGTGGCCACTTACCATAGGCAATAGCTGCTGATCAGCTCAAATACTTGTTCAACCCAAACACTAACTGACTTCATACGCCATTCTAGAGTAATCTGGCCCAGCGGTGAGTATTTAGAATTCTGCAAAGTTTGTCATATACCTCTCCCCTGCCCTTTGTATGTCGTACTCTATCCTGCCCTTCACATATTTCTCTCCTGCCCATTGCACTCCCACCTCCCCCTACCCCACACTCGTATAGAACTCCGCCTTCTATCCCTTTTCCTCCACCCTGCCCTCCACCCTCCTCTTTCGTGCTACTAGCACATCCCTACACTATTAAAATCGCTAATGTGACAAATCTGAAATCCGGGCCGTTGTTGGTCCTACCGGCCCTCGGCCCAGATCAACCGAACCATGTAACAAATCTGAAATCCCGGCCGTCGGGTCCTACCGGATCGACGCGCCGTATCAGCGCGATCTTAAGATCTTAAGAGCGTGCA